CGGAGGAAAATTCCGTGTTGCCTAGACCACGGCCTTGCCCAACACAAGTTATAAATTCGGGCACCGCCGGGAATCGAACCCGAGACCCCAGGATTACAAGGCCAGCGTTCTAATCGCTAGACCACAAAAACAATTAATGTAATAACATGTATTAATGACGAGTAATATTCGTAGTTCGCTGTTAGTAGCGGCACTGAAACTGACTCACGCGTACAAGCCCCGCCTACGTCAACAGCACCGGCCGATAACGCAATGTAAGCACGACCGCAGGCACATAAATTGTAGACCCGGTATAATGTTGAATAGTACGAAAGGATAGTAGTGTTTGGTGAACTCTAGAAAGGATTTGGGAAGAAACTGTCGTGACCTATGTCAGGGTCTCCGGAATATTCCTGAAGGGTATGAGGAAGACTTAAAACCTCTGTCAGGACAGCCCGTGTTCCAGCTGAGATAAAACTGGGCAGTTTCGGAAACAAGTTGGAGCCAGTTTCCTCGGTGACTGTAAATGGAATAAAATCTCAAAGTATGATCAATCATTAAACGACTTATCGCTTGTAAAAAAGTGTTTTAGCCAGTGATAAATGCAGCTTTAGAAGCTAGTCCATGGCGCTAACGAACAATGCCGATGAACCTAACTGATATTTGCAACATAATATCGATTAAATGTTATCGTCTGATACGTAGCTAAGCTACTATGAGTACATGGCAAATAGACATATCGTAAGAGCAGCAGAAAACTTTTCACTGGAAATGTAAGAAGCGTTTATAAGTCACCATCACCTGGCACGTGCATTAGTCTGATGAAACACGCGTTTATATTCCATTGTAATAAAAAGGAGTTTTCTGAGAACATCACTCAACCATCCGCAACAGCTGATCGTTTCAATGGACACTGGTTATTTGGCTTCGCTCTGTACGAATAATATTAAACACAACCTGCAAATACTGTTCGCATAAACCCTCGAAGCCAGCAAACGCAGGAGACCAACAACACACTGCGCCATACTGAAAAGAACTAAACACTGGGTCACATGACCGGAAGCATCTTCGCTGAAACACGGTTGCAAACATAACGAACGTAAACCACAAGTTCAAAATTACCATGTCGAATCGTAATCTGGCGCTCGTACGATTACAGAAGCTTTTGCGGAGAATGGAACAGAACGTCAGATGATTGCAAACATTCAAGTCAC